GGGGTGGTGGGGGGGGGGGGGGGTGTACTTAGTATCGTCACTACGAAGTCACTAAAAAAGAGGATCAATGATTCTGCGGAGGGAGTGATTGTTTTGTAAAATATATGACACCTCGGTAACGACTGGCCCGTGGAAAGGATGGAATTGGAAAAAAGAAAAAAAAAATTTTCATAAACAAAAACGAAGTATGACGTATGCGCGTTAATGTAAAATATAGCGGTGCTTTCTCGGATTAAAACGATCGTCGAGGCTTTTATGGGGTACGATGATTTTTTGTTCTGTTTTTCTATGTACGAAGACACAAGATTGGGCAACAATGAGAATTAATGCTGGATTCGGGAAGGATTTATTAATTCATTGTTCTTGCAATCTTTTGTATTCCTTTTTCGGTATATAATTGATAAGGGTCAAAGTGAACTGGATGGAGCAGGGTTGGGTATCGTGCCATAAAAATTGATAATTGCAAGAAAACAAAAAGAGAGAATGGCGTCGAAAACCACGGCTAAACGTATTTTTAACATGGATGTGTTGTACCCTAGCGCCTAGCGTCCACGTTTAAGGTATATCGTAATATTTACTACCAACGTTTAAGTAGCAACTTAGCAAGGGAGAAATAGGGTGAAGAGGGTAAAGAAAAAAAAAAGAAAAATTGTGGAACAAATCCACCAAGACTATACGAGAGTGAAGGGTAGCATGGGGGTTGGGTTAATTAGTTATCGCTGTGGGGTTGGAGTTAGGGTGGTGCGCAAAAAAAGTCGAAACAAAAAATCTACTATTGATTGATTAGTAATCGATTTGGTATTTATTACCCGTACCACATACTGTGATACAGGAGCAGATACGCACACGGTCCATACACAGAAATATGTAGTGACGTATGTAGAGATAAAAATTTTAAACAATATCCAATCCTACACGCGTTTTGTGCTTGCTAATTATTAAAAAAAAAAAAAAGAAATGATACTCGAGAAATTGAATGTCAAAATCATTAAAAAAAAAATAGAGTATCCCTTCCGTATACTTGTATTATATTAGCAAAACCTTCGTTGTCGGCCGCGTTGTTTCTTGCGAGGATGATTTTAAAGTTAATTGAAGTAGGGG